GGCCCCCCCCGCTGCCCCTGCCACTTGCTGCCCAGGCCAGGGCAAACCCTTACCCTCCTCTTGGCTCCTTGCTCCGGCCGCCCGCCCAAGGGGACAGGCGGATGCCCATGTGTCTTGGGCCCCGGGGGTGAGCGCTGGCATGGCCCTGCCCACCCCACAGCTGCTGTGCTGTGTGCAGCAGCTCCTGCCCTGCCCAGGCGGCCCCGGTTGTGTCCCGGGGCTGCTGGCCTCATCTCCAGCACTGGACGTGCAGGCAGCTGGGGGTCGCAGCCCCTCTGTCCACTCCCCCTCGCCCACGGGAAGCCATTCTCACCCCGATCTCTCTGCCGCAGGCAACAAGTTCTCCCCCTGCCATGCTGGAGTGCTGCTGCTGTGCATCTGGGTTTATGCCCTGATGTTTGCCACAGCCCCCCTGGCCGAGTGGGGCAGCTACGGCCCCGAGCCCTACGGAACAGCCTGCTGCATCACGTGGAAAGCCTCCAGCAGGGAGGCCACACTCTACATCCTCGCCCTCTTCATCTTCTGCTACCTTCTTCCCTGCCTCCTCATCCTCGTCTCCTACTCGCTGATCCTCTGGACGGTGCGGGGGTCCCGGAGAGCCGTCAGGCAGCACACGTCGCCCCAGCGCAGAGTCCACAGCGTGCACAGCCTGGTTGTGAAGGTAGGGGAGGGCTCGGCGTGCTGTGGGGTCTCAGGGTGTCCCCTGCCCCAGCCCACTGCCCCATGGGCAGGCAAACATGGCAGGACCTCTTCTGTCAGGGTGTCTGGCACTCCCGACGAATTCTCCAGGTGTTTGTATCAGTGTGGGTAATAACACATTTCTCCTCGTTTAAAGCCATCAGGTGGAAGAGTTTTCATTTTAAATTACATTGGAAAAGATCATAAAAGGAGCTTGCATGAGTCATTGTTCCCCAGACTACAAGCTAATACTATAATTTACCCAGGATATGTCAAAAAAAAAGGTGGATACCCTTTAAAAAATATATAATCAAAACCACGAAAGAAAACAGCTTGCAAGCCTGGCCTTGAAGGAAACACTCGTGTCTGCTTAGAGGAGGGGGTTCTGAGCACGGCCTATTTCCAGAGCCTCTCGCTTGGTCTGCACCCTGGCATGTAGGTTGCCAAAGGGATTTTGGGCGTTGCCAAAAGGCTGTTGGAGTCCAATGCTGGGCTGGTCCCAGCTGGGTCACTGGGTGTTTCACACCCACCTGCTGCAGCGTGCTGAGGCACTTCCCCACTTTCCCAGGTGGGACAGGGTGTGAATGGCCTGATGCGAGCACAACGTGCTCACATGCCCACGCTGGGACGTGCTGAGTTGCTGCCCCGATGTTGGACACCCTGATGCAACGGGACAGAAGGCTGAGCACCTTTCCCTGGGGATGTGACCAACTGCTCAGGGTCCCATTGCATGTGGCTGAGTTTTGGAGGGGGTGGTTCAATATCCCGCGAGTGCTGTGGGAGGCTCACGGCATTGCTGTCTCCATCTCCTTCTCTTCTAGCTGAGCATTGCCGTGTGCCTGGGCTTTCTGGCTGCCTGGACCCCTTATGCCATTGTTGCCCTGTGGGCAGTCATCGGCGATGCCAGCCAGGTGCCGGCACTGGCCTTTGTGCTGTCGGCCGTCTTTGCCAAGTCCTCAACACTCTACAACCCTCTGGTGTATCTGTTCTTCAAGCCCAATTTCCAGAAGTTCCTCTCCAAAGACATGGTGGTCCTCCAGGCCATCCGCACCCTCCTCTGCTGTGGCTAGCCAGAGTGCTGCGCTCCAGCCCTTCCCATCCCCAGGCTTTGGTGACCCCCCTGGGGCTTGCAGAACCTGCAACGACACTTTTGAGTGTTTCAGTAACTACCCCAAGTGCTACAAACTCCCCCGGGTGCCCAGCAGCTCGCCCCGGCGTGCTCCCCTGGCTGTCCTGGCCGACGGGGCTGCTTGCCAGCCGGGGCTGAAGAGGACGGTGCAGGTGATGGTGCTTGTCACACGGAAAAGGTCAGGCCTGGGTGCTGCGAATGTGGCGGGGGAAGCAATGCCATCAGATATCATGAAAGACCTTCTCTAGCCCAGCTGTGTCCTACCAGCGCACTGGAAGACAAACCCAAGCGCAACATTTCTCTCACCTACATACCTGATGGGTCCCCACCATGCTCCACAGATGAACTGATGTGAAAGTTTAAGACCAACCTTGCCTCCTCCTCTGATTTGGCTCTTGCAACTCTGAGCCTAGTCTTTGCACTTGCAAAAAGAGAAAAAAAAAGTAGACCCCCCCCCCAGTGCCTGAAATCTGCCCAGGGTACAAGTCCAAGGTGTAGTTTCTCCTGTAGCTTGCTCTCTGGGCCCTTGGCCTTTGTTTTTCCATCCTGGTGCTCTGATGACCAAGCAGAAACTTGGTTGTCTTAAGAAACTGTGCCTGGCAGGGAGGGCTGGGGGCCAGGAGACCCTAGGGGGCATCCTACCTCCAGCACCAGCTCCTGCAGCCCTCACTGACCATGTCCTTTCCCGTCGGGGAGTGGGACCGCGCCACTCAGCTACCTCACTTGGGATTATGAAGCATCTTTATATACCTCTCGAGACTACTCTCTGCGCAGGCTGGATCACCACACTCCCTCGATTTGAATGCAAATCCACCACCATCCTGTAGATCGAAACGGGAGCTTGTCTTTAGAGTGAAGATTTGGGGTTAAAATAATCCCGGTGCGAGTAATAGCAGGTCGTGCTCTCCCGGCAGGGAATGGCAAATCTGTGGCCAAGCACCATCCTGGAGACGGGGCTCTGGCCCACGGTCTCCCAGCAGCTGGAACAATGGGCCAGCTCACACCGTCTGTGCTGCTGTGTAGGGGAGCAGCTGCCTGGACAACAGTGTCCCGTGGCCTTGGAGTCACCATTTGGAGATCAGCGTGGGCAGGTCACCCACGGGAAGAATCTGGGATGAAAAGGACGGAGAAGCTGTGAAAGGGCCTGATGCAACAGAAAAGCCTGCAGGTTATCTGCTGTGGCAGATGCAGAGCAGATGTGCTGATGTCTCTCTGCAGCCACACGCTGGCAGCCCCATGGTGGAGCTCACCTGGGGCTGAGCTCGGGTTCCCCCATCCCACCCCCAGCCCTGGGCATGGCGGGAGCTGGTTTGGCTCTGCAGACACTGGTTGTGACCCCAGAAATCAAAAGATGCATTCAAGGTGCTGAGAGGAGTCAGTAACAGAGGTGGGAAACGTGCTGCTCTCTGGCACCCACCCAGCCAGTTACTCGTAGGAGCACTTTATGTTGTCACTGGTTAACAAACAAAACCACACCACAGCCCATCACCAGAGCTGCAGCGTTAAATCATGGATGTGCTGAACGGGAACAGGGAACTGTCTTCTGCACCGAGTGCTGGGAAACAGCCGCTGCCCTCGATGCCATCGCTGGCTGTGCCCTGCCAGCCACACTGCCTGTTAGCTGACCCCGAGCTCTCCCTCTTCCCTCTGCTCTCCAGATACAGATATTGCTATTTTTAGCAGTTGCTCCCAGAACTGGGATGTATCGCTGCCTTTTCTTAGCACAGATACAGCTGCCTTCTCTCTCCCGAGGACACAGAGCACTTCAGGTGCCCACCACCAGTCATTTCAGTGACCCAGGCATTTAAAACAGGAGCTGGGCTTTTTGGCCTCGATGTTATGGCCCAGTTCCAGCGTAGGTGGCACCAGGGCCTGTGTGAGCTCTGTGGTGGGGGAAACAGTTGCTGCATGTGTGCAGAGGCACCCGGTGAAGCCGCAAAGGGTGCTGGGGGTCCTGCCGCTGCTTTCTGTGGGTGCCATCATTACCGCCTGATGCTGCACAGCTCCCATTAGCGCACGACAGCATGGCAGTCATGGCACTTGCTTTTGTCCCTCGGTCATTTCCACCTAGCCACTTTAATTAGCAGTTTCCCTGCGACAGGAGAGGGTCACCAACACCTCTGGGGTGCACTTGCGTCTTCCTGGGATGGTTATGCCCATGTCATACCCGCAGCGCAGACGGTTGGGACAGGGCAGGGTTTATGCACAAGAGACAAGTAATAACTGAAAGGCCTCATGGGGAGCCACATTCCTGCCTCTGCTCCCTGCTCCTGCTATGCAACATCCCCCACTCAACCAAAGATGGGCAACATTTGCAAAACGCTGCAAACAAAGGAAAATCAGCGCAGCCAATGAAGAGAGAAGACGAAGTTTCCAATGTGGGTGCAGGTTTCTGGGAGGACCGGTCACCGCACGACCCAGGCCACGGTTTCTTGGTCCCTTCCCACCCCGCCGCTTGGGGCACCGCTCCCCGCGCCCCGTTCCGCAGCGGAATCCCCGGCACTCGGTGTCTCCGCTGACGAGCTGTCGTGTTGCAGAAACTGTACATTTTTCAAGTAAATCCACTCATGCACAACCAGTGTTTGTCTTGGTTCCGATCTGTGCCAGTGGCCACGCTCCGGCACAGTCAAGCTGCCGTGCCGGGAGCGCGTCTCCCCCGGCCGGTGCCACCGCCATGGCCAGAAGCGGCTTGCGAAACAGACTCAGCACGGACAGGGCGGAACCATCGTGAGGAGGAACCACAATGACAGGGGTGGGGGGTTGGGGTGTGTGTGGAGAAGGCCGAGAGCAGTTTGGGGGTCGGCAGAACTTTCATTTCTCAGTTCTGAGGTCTCTAGGATAAGTCTGGGGCTTTAAGAGTGGCCTGGGGGCTCTAGGATACGCCTGGGGGAATGTAGAATTGGTCTGGGGGGAACTGGGAGTCTCTAGGATGGGTCTGGGGGCTGTAGGAGGGGTCTGGCAGAGTGTATAATGAGTCTGGGGGGATGTAGGAGTCTCTAGGATGGGTCTAGGTGCTCTAAGAGGGATCTGGCAGGGTGCAGAATGAGTCTCAGGGGATCCAGAAGACTCTAGGCAACGCAACTCCAAAGGAAAAACCTCTCAACAAGAACAATGACTCCTGGACTGGAGACGCTGTGGGGCAACAAGACCTAAGGGGCTGCAACAGTGATGTAAGGAGGCTCCATGACAAGCCCAGAAACAACTCCAAAGGTGACAGCCCACAATGAGAAGTTACTGCCAAAACACAGATGATGGATGCACGAGAAACCTCGCTTCAAGAGTCAAGAGCATAAGGATGCAGGCAAGAAGTCCCAGTCCTTGAAATGGACAGTAAGAGATCAGTGCTGCTGACACAGCCTGGAACAACGATGCGCATGAGGACCGACCGGAAACTTCTGAGATGCAAGACCGATCTGCGCTTTAAGCTTGTCACACCAGAAAAGAATTGACTGATTGATGCTCTGCCAATAAGTACGGGCATTCAAAACCCCAGAGATGGCACCCAAGACACTGCTGTGCTCGTTGAGCCCCAGCCTTGGCTCCTTTATAGCCACAGCCCCACCCTCAGCCTCACTGGCCACATCTGGGGTGGTGCTAGCCCCAGCTGCAGCCCGTTGGGAAGAAGGGCCATGGCCAAAGCCCCACAGCACATGGCCCCCTCCCCTGGACCTGGCCACGGCCACCAGCTCCACATCTGGGAGCTGCAAACACACCCATCCAGGGGCGCGGAGGAGGCAGGAACAGTTTCTTCCTTAACGGGCGGAAGAAATCCCGGCAGCGAGTCAGCTACAAGGCTCAGAGCCCGAACGCAGCAGGACAGAGGGAGAAAAAGGGAAGAGAAAAGCAGGAGGAAGGACAGCAGGACAGGGAGGCGGAAAACGCGACACTGTTGTCCAGAGAGGGACGAGGACTGGGACAACAGTGGGGAGAGCTTGAGCTAAAAATCAGAGATAGAGAGACAGAGGAATGAAGAAAAGAGGGAGTGGGAGAGAGAGGCAGGAGGGAACAGCAGGAAAAGGAGATGGAGCCGAGACAGGGAAAGTCCTGAAGTTATCGTGGGAAAAGAAACAGAGAGAGGAAATAAAAAATAGAAAGGAGGAGCCTCGAAAAAGTGAAGAGAGAATGAGAGTTTGGAAAAGTGATGGGGTAGGAGAAACACGGGCAGGAAGGGAAATGAGGTCAGGGAGAGGGAGGGAAGGGCAGTGGGAGAATGTGAAAGGGTTCAAGAAACTTACGCGGGAATTTAAAAACACTACAGAGCACTATAAAGCCCTACAGACCATTACAGAACCCTATAGAAGCCTTATAGAGCCCCGTAAAGCTCTAAAGACCACTACAGAAGCCCTGTAGAGCCTTATAAAGCCCTATAGACACCTTATAGACTCTTATATAGCCATATGGAGCCCTATGGGAAATTTATAGAAGTCCTATAGAGCCCCATAAAGCCCTAAAGACCTCTACAGAAACCCTATAGAGCCTTATAAATTCCTATAGACACCTACAGAAGCCCTATAGAGCCCTATAGACCCTTATACAGCCATATACACTCCTATAAGAAATTTATTCAAGCCCTATAGAGCCCCGTAAAGTCCTATAGATTCTTATAGAAACCCTATAGAGCCCCTCAGAGCTATATACACCACTATAGAGCCCTATAAAACCTTACAGAGCACGAAGATTCCGCCCACTTCGTCCCTTTTTCTGTCCCCCCGGAACTTCGGTTCCGCGTCACGAAGGTTCCGGTCCGTCACTTTTTTGTGCCCCCCCGTCACCTTGGTTCTGCCGCACAGACGTTCAGGTCTGCCACTTTTCTGTCCCGCCTCCCCCCCGCACCCCATCGCTTTGCCCTAAAGAAGCCCCACAGACACCCACAGCACCCGCCAGACCCACTCCTCACACACACTTTTTCTCCCACCCTTTTTGTTTTACCTCCCCGCCTGC